AATGCACAAAAGTAGAAGATTAGTAAAATGGGAATCAATCTGTCTTGTTATAGAAAGTTGCAGAAAGAGAATGTCCAGCCTACCTTCTGGCAAAGTGGATAAAGTAACCATATTCTGTACAGAAAATGTTATGTTTTATATAGGCTCAGCCACAGGACTAATGACAAATCAGTATAGCACTCTCATTAGTCATTTTCACACTATCAAAGCTGAAAAATGATCAATCTGAAGACAGAATAGATCCTACTAAATATGTTTGCACATCTTGACATCTAATTACCAGTCTGTTTTCTACATTTAAAGTCCAGATACATTTATAAGATGTCATTTTCCAGTTTATTTTCTTTATGCCTGTACACTAGCCAACTTTATAGCCAGTAAACAAGTAAAACATCTAGTAGCAGAACATATATGTGTTTGCTACCATAACACAGTGATACCTAACATACATGGATTTATATCCTTTATTTAGTGGCCTGAACCAAAACGACTCACTTTACATTAAGGGAGCACTATGAAAAAGCTTGCAAAGAACCAAAACACATATTCATTAATTATTAATTTACTATTTGCATATGGTGACAGATTATATCTGTTATAGGCATTTTCTCCCATATACCACAGCCATACATATCACACAGGACTGATGCAATCATCATGCTTAATGGAAGACAAGTTTTCAAAAACCCTTAAATGCCTTTGGAGCCTGTGATATATTTTTGATCACGTCTGGAGGAGATATTTAGCAGAAAACTATCACTAGTTTACTTTGCCTCTTAATCTTATCTGGAGATTTAAAGTAGGATTAATTTAATTTAGTTTAGATTTTTGCAGTGATGATGTCTACAGTTGCACTGGTTGTTCAGACTCCTTTTATAACTAACAGGAGACAGGCTGCAATTCCTCTTTTCCCTTTTGGATTTGTACATCAGAACAAGAACAACTGAACCCTAGAGAGCCCTGGCCTCTCTTTACAGACAAAAGAATTTGCTAGATATGGACACATGAAATTAACTAACTACCACAATAGGTAGTTTCAATAATTTTGAACCTAAGTCACCTGGCCTAAGCTTTCTGAAACCAAGGATTAGGTACCTCAATATCTTAAGACTATGAACTACCTCACAAAATTTTAGCTCTTCAAAAATTAAATATCTAACCTAAACAACTCATAAGGGCTCCAAATGTATTGAATAGAGAAGAGACAAGATCCCAAGGAGAGAATTTATCCTAACTTATATGTCATGTCTAAGACAGGTAGGATATGGAAGTGCTACAGCTGCATCTAAGAAAACCAACTCAGGCTACATATCTAACACATAAAGAGCTGTCATTAAAAGATGAAACTATCTCTTCTGTATATTTATAAAGTTTAACAATATCTATTACTCAGTTGTTATCAATGTAACTGCTATTTAGCAGTGCACTTATGTGTAAATCAGTTCTGCATGCTACGTGGAGGAAAAACATCACCAATCTTTTTTGGAAAAAACCTCTTACAAAGTTTAATATCTGGGGAACTTGACAGAACTGGCATACATGTAGCTGATCTCAATTCTTGGCAGCAGCAAAGCCTTCCTGTGGTTTTCATGTAAGTCACCTAATCTGTGCTTCTCATCAGTTCCCTATTTGTAAGGAGGGAGAATGGTACTTGCTGATTTCACTGTAATGTTAAAAGGCAAAATGCATTAATAATCATGAGGACATCAAATAATATGGTAATGGGGGACATAAAATTACACAGAAATCACCACCCATCTACTGCTGCTAGAAATGCGCTTTTGAGAAAAGCATGTCAGGCATTTATATGTTACTGCAATAAGGTCCTCAGAAATACAAGTAGGGTAAATAGCTGCCAGATTCACCATAGAACCATATATTTCAATGCTTTTTCAGAAAAAAAAAAAAGGCTTTTAAAATATTATTTACCTCAAAGCACTAGAGCTAAGACTGCTAAAGTTATATGAACAAGGTAGTCATAAAACATTCTGTTTTTTCTCTGAAAACTGCATTCTGTTGTGAACATCCCCCTCAGGTTGTGAATTGTCCCAGTCAGCCCAAATCTGTACGTTTCATGGAATAAAAGTTTCATTGCAAAAAATTCCAGGCTGTACTTATGGCATTTCAACCATACCATGAAGTTCTTTCATGCAATCTTTGCTTGTAAAGACCTGTAGAAATGATTTTCATAAGTTATTATAAATTATAGTACGACATATACAAGGAGGCTGGATAATTGCAACTATTTATTCCCTCCTTCCCACTTTCCACAGTGGGATGGTTCCCCTTGAGTCTTAGAATGGTACC